TTTCTGGAATTATGTCCCCCCCCCCCCTTTCAAAAATTATGGATTCGCCCTTAAGTCTCGTATATTGACCGTTCATGGTCTTATATGTTAAACAACTGATCCTTATAAAAATCAAATATAATGCTGCATAGAAATGTTTTGTCCGAAGATATGGTGGGTTAAGCCTGGTTTTATAGCTAGCGAAATCTCCCACTTGTATGACAGTTGTTTATAGTTCCGTTATATTGACAAAATTAGGTGAGCAACTCAAACAGACATAATAGGTTAATAACTTTGCATTATGAACAAAAGATGAAACAAAATTTTTAGTCTTTCACCCATGAATGACATTTTGATGATTGTTATATTGAGAGGTTTACATAAGTTAAATGACACTCCGGAAGTCGCCGCTACAACTAAACATAGCTTTCGGAGTGCTGATTTTCTGAAAGAAAACATCTTAATAATCATACTAAGTAACATATTTACCCTGAAATAGGATTTCAAATTCATAGACACGTAAATGTGGGCTAAAAATTATCCAAATACATTACTCATTCAGTAAAGTTTCATTCATGTAAATTTGATTGCTAGTTTTAGTTAACACAACGTTCAAAGCCCTTTGTTTTACCAGAGTAGGTTTTACATGTTCTTAATGCTGATTGGATGAATTGGTTGTGTGGCATAATAAGAAACCATTCTACTCAAGTGAAAAATCGAGCGCTTGAGTTAACTATTACTATGTTATGTGTTGCCATTCAAGTAATAGCTTGCGAACACTATATATATAACACATTAAAAATGCTATTACTTAACACTTTGTCGGCAGTTTTCATAAATAAAAATTCTATAAAGGGCAAAGTAACATAATGAGCTATGTCACATATTATGGTAAAATTTTGCATGCAACTTTGGCTCGTTGAACTGTAACTGAAAATGGAAAAAGTAAATGCATTTGTCTGTTAAATTTTCTGAAATATTACTGAAGTGATCCTTTCAAAAAAAAAAAGATGCGCATTTGTATAGAAACCACATTAAATCAACGAAAATGTTCTTAAATTTGTATTAAAATAATCAAATCGCCAATCACCAATATATAGATTTTTTTTTAAATTGGTATATTGATGATACATATATTAATTTCCGTTTTAATGATGTAAAATAATAACACAGTTCAAAGTTTAAGTTAAAGTTTCAATATCTATTTCCGTCCTCCTACATTTGCCCATGATAAGAGTTTTTCCGCTATTCCGGGAATTAGCTCTTTTCTCATGAATCGATGTAAAACAAATTTTGATAACTAAACAATTCTCTTGACAATCATGTCAATATACCAGGTTTTGACAGAGTTTAGAAATTTTCTGAACTATATACGCTTAAAGCTTCTTTTACGCCTTCTCCGATAGCAGAGATTTAATCAAAAATGATTTATTCTTTTCCTGTGTGTATAAATTGATGTAAAATACTTTGAATATATTAATGTTTTTCTTAAATTGTTTAACATTCCATACCGGTATAACATGTTACTTTTATTATTCTTCCCTTAGTTTATTTATTTTGTATTTACATTGTATCATAGGTCAAATGTATTTGTTCAGTGTATGTTCACTGGTGTTAATATGTCCTTTGATTGAGTTAAGCTATTTCAGTTGATATTTTATAGTGTGTCTTTCTATGTTGTGATGTTACACTATTGTTACAGAAAAAGGGTGAAGGTTTGGTACCATTAAAACGTTTAAACCCGCTGCATTTGTTTGCACCTGTCCTAAGTCAGGAATCTGATGTTCAGTAGTTGTCGTTTGTTGATGTGGTTCATAAGTGTTTCTCGTTTCTCGTTTTTTATATAGACTAGACCGTTGGTTTTCCCGTTTGAATGGTTTTACACTAGTAATTGTTGGGGCCCTTTATAGCTTACTGTTCGGAGTGAGCCAAGGCTCCGTGTTGAAGACCGTACTTTGACCTATAATGGTTTACTTTTATAAATTTTGACTTGGATGGAGAGTTGTCTCATTGGCACTCATACCACATCTTCTTATATCTAATGAGTAATTAAAAATTTTCTTTATGAATACTAGTACATCAATGTTTTTTTACTTGGTCTTAGTTTTTGGGATATTAATTTCAAAATTGGAAATTCTAACATGTTGTCGTCAATCAAATCTTCCAGTCGTCCTTTCATTGTGATTGTGTATTTTAAAAAATCATTGCAGACATTTGTTCGTCAATCGGCAATACTTTATACAAATATCTTCGGAAGCCGTGGTATGGTTCACAGCGAGACACTGACTCTCCACCAGAGACCAAAATTACCAACTGAGATTGCTTTATAACACTGTTTTATAGTAATCTCAGATATGACGCAGAAGTTAGCAACTATAGGTCACCGATTGCCTTCAGTGATAAGCAAAACCCATACCGCGCAACAAGCTATAATAAAAGGCCCCGAATTGACAAATGTAAAACAATTCCAACCAGAAAACTAACGGCGGGCCTGATGTATGTTCAAAACAACTTGATCAACGAAAAACAAATATGATATATAACTGCAAAATAATAATTATTTGGGTTTTAATTTATTGATAACAAAATCAATATTTATACCGATTTAAATATATATTCCGTTTTCTGGAATTATGTCCCCCCCCCCCCCCCCCCCTTTCAAAAATTATGGATTCGCCCTTAAGTCTCGTATATTGACCGTTCATGGTCTTATATGTTAAACAACTGATCCTTATAAAAATCAAATATAATGCTGCATAGAAATGTTTTGTCCGAAGATATGGTGGGTTAAGCCTGGTTTTATAGCTAGCGAAATCTCCCACTTGTATGACAGTTGTTTATAGTTCCGTTATATTGACAAAATTAGGTGAGCAACTCAAACAGACATAATAGGTTAATAACTTTGCATTATGAACAAAAGATGAAACAAAATTTTTAGTCTTTCACCCATGAATGACATTTTGATGATTGTTATATTGAGAGGTTTACATAAGTTAAATGACATTCCGGAAGTCGCCGCTACAACTAAACATAGCTTTCGGAGTGCTGATTTTCTGAAAGAAAACATCTTAATAATCATACTAAGTAGCATATTTACCCTGAAATAGGATTTCAAATTCATAGACACGTAAATGTGGGCTAAAAATTATCCAAATACATTACTCATTCAGTAAAGTTTCATTCATGTAAATTTGATTGCTAGTTTTAGTTAACACAACGTTCAAAGCCCTTTGTTTTACCAGAGTAGGTTTTACATGTTCTTAATGCTGATTGGATGAATTGGTTGTGTGGCATAATAAGAAACCATTCTACTCAAGTGAAAAATCGAGCGCTTGAGTTAACTATTACTATGTTATATGTTGCCATTCAAGTAATAGCTTGCGAACACTATATATATAACACATTAAAAATGCTATTACTTAACACTCTGTCGGCAGTTTTCATAAATAAAAATTCTATAAAGGGCAAAGTAAAATAATGAGCTATGTCACATATTATGGTAAAATTTTGCATGCAACTTTGGCTCGTTGAACTGTAACTGAAAATGGAAAAAGTAAATGCATTTGTCTGTTAAATTTTCTGAAATATTACTGAAGTGATCCTTTCAAAAAAAAAAAGATGCGCATTTGTATAGAAACCACATTAAATCAACGAAAATGTTCTTAAATTTGTATTAAAATAATCAAATCGCCAATCACCAATATATAGATTTTTTTTTAAATTGGTATATTGATGATACATATATTAATTTCCGTTTTAATGATGTAAAATAATAACACAGTTCAAAGTTTAAGTTAAAGTTTCAATATCTATTTCCGTCCTCCTACATTTGCCCATGATAAGAGTTTTTCCGCTATTCCGGGAATTAGCTCTTTTCTCATGAATCGATGTAAAACAAATTTTGATAACTAAACAATTCTCTTGACAATCATGTCAATATACCAGGTTTTGACAGAGTTTAGAAATTTTCTGAACTATATACGCTTAAAGCTTCTTTTACGCCTTCTCCGATAGCAGAGATTTAATCAAAAATGATTTATTCTTTTCCTGTGTGTATAAATTGATGTAAAATACTTTGAATATATTAATGTTTTTCTTAAATTGTTTAACATTTCATACCGGTATAACATGTTACTTTTATTATTCTTCCCTTAGTTTATTTATTTTGTATTTACATTGTATCATAGGTCAAATTTATTTGTTCAGTGTATGTTCACTGGTGTTAATATGTCCTTTGATTGAGTTAAGCTATTTCAGTTGATATTTTATAGTGTGTCTTTCTATGTTGTGATGTTACACTATTGTTTCAGAAAAAGGGTGAAGGTTTGGTACCATTAAAACGTTTAAACCCGCTGCATTTGTTTGCACCTGTCCTAAGTCAGGAATCTGATGTTCAGTAGTTGTCGTTTGTTGATGTGGTTCATAAGTGTTTCTCGTTTCTCGTTTTTTATATAGACTAGACCGTTGGTTTTCCCGTTTGAATGGTTTTACACTAGTAATTGTTGGGACCCTTTATAGCTTACTGTTCGGAGTGAGCCAAGGCTCCGTGTTGAAGACCGTACTTTGACCTATAATGGTTTACTTTTATAAATTTTGACTTGGATGGAGAGTTGTCTCATTGGCACTCATACCACATCTTCTTATATCTAATAAGTAATTAAAAATTTTCTTTATGAATACATCAATGTTTTTTTACTTGGTCTTAGTTTTTGGGATATTAATTTCAAAATTAGAAATTCTAACATGTTGCCGTCAATCAAATCTTCCAGTCGTCCTTTCATTGTGATTGTGTATTTTAAAAAATCATTATCATATTTATTTCATTTATATAAGCTTTAGAAGTCCGTTTTATGTAGATTCTTCCTATGTTTAATCTTTCTTTAGAAACGTTTGAAAATAGTGAATTTTTAAACTTCCAATTTTCTCACGGTTTGAAAAGTCCTTTTAATTATCTTTCTTGAAAGTTGAAAAAAAATCTGATCATAGTGAGGGAAAATTATCATATAATTAGTAATACTTACCTTGCTGAGCAGTACGTTAGAACAACGCCTTGTTGCCTTAAAAGGCCTCAGTTCTAATGAACACAGGAAGAGGAAATATGTAGTGAAAACGAGACAATAATAAAAGCACTGACGTACTGTTAGCTCAGAAGAAGTCAAATATCTTGGTTGATTTCTTGTCCTGCGCTTGCCACTCTTCAAGCACAAAGGATTGTACGTGCCTTTATATGTATATTAAGTAGAGGAGGGCTTCGATATAGGTTTTCATTGTTTTAATTTATGATTTTTGTAATTTTAAGTGTTGCAGGGCTAGTGAGATCATAAAAATCATTAAATAAAACGTAAACATTTGTTTTTAGTTGCCAGAAATACAATTTTGTTGTTACTAATAATTGATAAGATTTCATATGGAAATGAAATTCTAAACTCTATGACACGAAGAGTTGATACATAACAGTCGTTTAAACTCATTCTCTATTCAAGGAACCTCTGCACAAACAAACCCGTGCTTAAAATCAAGTCGTGTTCATATTTAAAAAAAAGAAAAGAAGAACTTATTCGAAATAGACCCACCGCACAATCAGAAGAACTTTTTAACTGGTTCTTTTTATTTCTCTCTTTATATAAATACGTATACAGCCAGTATAAACATACATTGAGGTTTGCACGCGATAAATGTATTCCCAAAGCACCATATCAAATCAATTTTTCACAAAACTCCTATAGCCTGATGTTCTCATTGATTGCTACATTAAGAGGGAAATGATAACATGATATAGGAAGTTTAGTTTTTCTTTGCATTTTTACTATATACCGAAACATTTTCTTGTGGACGTATGGCCATGCAGTAGCGTCCTCGCGGAGAACGAGTAAAACATTGAAGAATTTAATTTCCCCGTGTTTAAGAAATGTTGTACCCACTGTCCTTCGTCCCCGAAACTTTGTTTTCATTGCTAACTTTCACATTCGGTCAAGTCTTTTGGGTTAGAGAATTAACATGTATTAATGTTTTTTGTATTTGGTGACGTCTTAGTGTTAGAAAATTAACATGATTCAATGGTTTTTATACGCCCGTTTATGGGACGTATTATGATATACCGTTTGTCCGTCCATCCGACCATCGTCAACATGTAGGACAATGACTCAAAAACGCTTTAACCAATGTTCATGAAACTTTGGTGAATTGTTTATATCTATTGACGTAAGCTCCCTTTCGATTTTTATAATTTATGGATTTTACGTTTCCGAGTTATGGGATTTTATTCATAACATTTTGGGATTTTACAGTTTTCTTACTATAATTCAAAAATGCTTTGAACAATTTTCATGAAACTTTGGTAAATTGTTTATATATATTGACATAAGTTCCCTTTTGACTCTTTAACATTTCTGATTTTACATTTTGAAGTATTAGGACTTTATTCATAAAAAGGGGGGATTTTCCAGTTTTCGGACAATAACTCATAAATGCTTTGAGCAGTTTTAATGAAACTTTGGTGACTGGTTTATAAATAAATCTATATGATCCATAAATAAGCTCCATTTAGTTTTTTTTTTTTTTTTTTAATTTCTAATCTGACATTGTGGAGTTTTGAAACTCTATTCGTTGAAAAAGCGACTGTCGTATCATACGCTCATGGCGCAGCTCTTTATTGTATTTGGTATGTGCCGTCTTAGTTTTAGACAATAGACATTAAAAAAATCGCTACTATATATAGGATGCCTCATCAATAGATATAATGACTTATCAATGGTTTTTTTTTTGGCCTAGGGGTGAACTTAGGTGATCCGTAAGGGCAAGCGGTTCCTCCTGCTCCACAAGTGACACCTCGGTGGCCGAGTGGTCTAAGTATTCCATCTAAGGTTGTGAGTTAAAGCCACGAAATAGCCAATAGTGCTGAAAGTGGCGTTAAATACCAATCAATCTATTAATCAATTTATTGGGGCCCGTTTTCAAAATTAATTTTCTGTAGATTATTTTGTTATTTAAGAATTGAAAGCTTCTTTTGTAATTTTATTGGGAAGTAAAAAGGTTGACCGAAGCACTTTTTGTATGAAGCACGAAAGCGCTTAATACTTAAAATGTGCGCAGATCAACGCTTTTACAACCCTAAAAAATTACAAAAAGAAGCATTCATTTCTTATAATTACATAAATATGCTACAACTGCATAATTAAGAGTTATATCATGCTTTCCGTTTGTTTTTCCCATGCATTAATGTGACGTTGTCACAGAAATCACGTGTAGACATGAATGTTGAATTTTATTTAGAAATACAATATGATATTTGGATGCCAATTAAAATAGATATAGGAAGATGTGGTTTGAGTGCCAATGAGACAACTCTCCATCCAAGTAACAATTTATAAAAGTAAACAATTATAGGTCAAGGTACGGCCTTCAACACGGAGCATTGGCTAACACCGAACAGTGAGCTATAAAGGGCCCCAAAAATTACTAGTGTAAAACCATTCAAACGGGAAAACCAACGGTCTAATCTATATAAAAACGAGAAACGAGAAACACGTATGAACTACATAAACAGACGACAACTACTGTACATCAGATTCCTGACTTAGGACAGGTGCAAACATTTGCAGCGGGATTAAACGTTTTAATGGTACCAAACCTTCTCCCTTTTTCTGAAACAATAGTGTAACATCACAACATAGAACGACACACTATAAGATATCAATTGGAAGGCTTAACTCAATCAAAAAACGTAAATTAACACACAATGAACGAATAAATTTGATCTGTGATACCTGAATGCAAATACATAGTTAATAAAAATTAGAAAATCATCACTTTTGATAAAACCTGCGTCATATTATACACAGGTAAATGAAAATAATTTTGTTGTTAAGTATACTTCTACTTCTGTGTGTATAAAAGTACGGATTCTTATGAAACATACATGTAATGTTATAATTGCTTCTTATTTAGTTCCTGGGGAATTTGCTACAATTACTCTTAACAAATGCACCTTTAGATACGTGTGCCCCTCCCCGCTAAGTACGCGGTATAAAGGAATGAGAGCAATGTCTGTCTGAGAATAATGCGACCGCTATGGTAACTTCTTCATACAGACCGTTCCCTTGCGAACTAGCTCATTGAAAATTTGGACCAGCAAACCGGTCTAGTACAAAGTGTAACTATCTCATAGGAAAGGACCTGTGACTGTTACCAGGGAAATGACTTCTGATTGTCACCAGGGAAATGTCTTGTGACTATCACTAGGAAAAGGATCTGTGACTGTCACCAGGGAAAGGACCTTTGACTATTAACTGGGATATGACCTATGGCTGTGAACAGGGAAAGGACCTGTGACTATTAACTGGGATAAGACCTATGACTGTGAACAGGGAAAGGACCTGTGACTATCAAAAGAAAAAGGAATTGTAACTGTCACCAGGAAAATGACTTGTGACTGTCACCAGGGAAAATGACTTGTGACTGTCACCAGGGAAAATGACTTGTGACTGTCACCAGGGAAAATGACTTGTGACTGTCACCAGGGAAAGGACTTGTGACTATCAAAAGAAAAAGGAATTGTAACTGTCACCAGGAAAATGACTTGTGACTGTCACCAGGGAAAATGACTTGTGACTGTCACCAGGGAAAGGACCTGTGACTATCAAAAGAAAAAGGAATTGTAACTGTCACCAGGAAAATGACTTGTGACTGTCACCAGGGAAAATTACTTGTGACTGTCACCAGGGAAAATGACTTGTGACTGACTGTCACCAGGGAAAATGACTTGTGACTGTCACCAGGGAAAATAACTTGTGACTGTCACCAGGGAAAGGACATGTAACTGTCACCAGGGAAAGGATTTGTGACTGACACAAAGAAAGGACTTGTGACTGTCACCAGGGTAAGGACATGTAACTGTCACCAGGGAAAGGATTTGTGACTGACACAAAGAAAGGACTTGTGACTGTCACCAGGGTAAGGACTTGTGACTGTCACCAGGGAAAATGCTTGTGACTGTCACCAGGGAAAGTACATGTGACTATCACCAGGGACAAGACCTTTAACTGTCACCAGGGAAAGGACATGTGACTATCATCAGGGACAAGACCTGTAACGATCACCAGTAAAATGACTTGTACCTGTCACCAGGGAAAGACCATGTGTATGCCACCAGGAAAAGAAGATGACTTCCTTCCAGTTACCTTCAACAATGAGTTATGTTACGTACCTTAAAACTTGCAAAATGAATAGAAGGTCCAATATTAAACTATTTAAATAAAGCAAACGATGGTACTCAATTACAGAACGTGTAAAAGATAAGCTGTGTCAAAAGCCAGTACATTGCTAGATGTTTATTCATGTCTTCATTTAGACTCGGGACGACTTAGAGCTTGACATGTTGTTTAGACCTTGTCTATTGTTTAAGACTGTATGTTTTAGTTTGGAATCTGTGTATATCTTTAGAATATATGTGCAGTTGGGTTGCTGTGTTATTGACCTATACACCAGATAAACCATGTAATCGTTGGTATTTTACTGACCTTGGTGCTTTCAAAAAAATAATTTGGGGAATGTGTTACGAAATAGATCCATGGATAACTAGTTATGAGGACAACCGGAGCAATGTACGCCGATCCGTTTTACTATACCTATCCAACAAATGTTTATCTGTTAAGAGAACGGGAGACAAAACTACCAATATTTCATTGACAACTTTCTAGTTTTCAAGACTGCACTATATGTCTACCTATAGATGTCTTTTAGTTGTTGTGTGTTTGAGTGACTGTCTTATTGACGTATACCCTAGTTCTCCTTTTATTTATACCAATTATTGCACCCAACAGGAGTATAAATTAAAGAAGCGACACGTGTTACCCATGCACATTAGTTATTTTCAAAGCGGTAGAGAAAATCAATATAAACTGTAAGATTAAAAAGACAAATACCTAAAAACAACACAGAAAAGTACTTTACATTTGATAGTATATTCCTTCAATGTTCATGGTCCAGTCTAACAGATAAAATATCTTGAAAAGTATTCAATTTTAGATATATAAGGTATCGTTTTTTTCTAGTTTTAGTTTTTCTTGGAAGTCTGTTGCTAGTTGTAGCGTATCACAGACT